CGATGAGAAGGAGACGGCGATGAGAAGGAGACAGCGATGAGAAGGATTGAAGCGATGAGAAGGATTGAAGCGATGAGAGGGAGACAGCGATGAAATCCACGGGAATGGATTTCAAATCCCGTGTAAGGGCGAAGGATTCTCAAATCCAGTGTTGGTGGGATTTCAAATGAATCCCGGGATTTGAAATCCGACCATTTCTACAAACCAAACGTAGGATTGGAATGGATTTCAAATCCAAATCCCTCCAAATCCCTCAAACCAAACGCACCCTAAGAGACAAATTTTTTTTTTTTGTCAAACAAGATTCACCTCTCAGTGATTCAGAAGTTGCCTCTTAATAAAACGATTAAGAGATAAACAAACAACCCCTTATTTGTTCACCACAAAACTATAGAAAATAACCTTTTCTTTTATCATAATAATAGAATACTGGTAAAAAGATCCCCAAAAACAAATAAATAATTTACCACATATGCAGATCCTTAGCTATCAATGCTATATTACAGTTTATTTAATAAAAACTCTTCAAAATCATTTTTTATACATGAATTACTGTTTATAAATGTGTATTAAGGAGATCTCATATAACTATTAACATATATTATATTTTCTCCCCTTGCCAATAATCTTTGCCTGAATAATAACACAATCAAGAAAGAAAGAAGACATGTTCCAGTAATTACAGCACTAATCAAAATCAAGTTGGAACTTGAATTGTGAAATAAAGAAGACATCTCTAAGCACAATATCATTTATCTTCATATCATCAAAATATGAGAATGAGTGGTCATGTAGCTGTTGTTGTCTTGAATCAAAGAGAATTGCTGGTGTTGACTAGGATTAAGATTTTTGACAAACTCTTTTCAAACCAATTTTGAATATTAGCATTGTTCTATATACAGTAAATAAACTTACACATCTTCGTCACATTTGGTGAGGTTTGAACTCTTGACCTCCCACAAGGTTAGGCTCTGCTCTACTAGTAATCTTGGCTTATGACCCTTTGGTTAGTAGCATTGTTGGAAATTACCAGACCTGTGAAAATGTCTTTTCAGAATTGAATTTAAGATCCAAGAAGTTACCATACGTTTGTTTTGGTCCCAAGATTTGCATCACCTTGTGGTTCTATCAAAGATCCAGCAACAAAACCAATTACGTTCTTTACTGTCGATGCGATTATCATTGCTAGACTCGAATTATTATAGTTATCTCCAGTAAGTGGTAGTGAGACGAGAATCATACCTGGGCTGTCTGAATAATGCAGGAAATACGAACCGGAAGGATCTGAATTTGTATTTTCAGTTCTTCGCTTGTTGATGAAAAAAGATGATCGAGATGAATTAAGAAAGAACGCAAGATCAGTCAAGCTCGGATACCATATTACGTCAGTAAGCAGAGGAAGCAGTAAAAAAACACAGAAGCAACATAAATACCATCTTATTGAATTTCTGAATGAATCAATCTTATATATCCTGTGTCTATTTACATAACTGAGAAGTACAAGAAATACTTAACTAACTTGCAACAACTTGCTATCTAAAAGCCTGCAGCACTCTCTAATAATTGTCATTTGGAAGTTGGAACTTATTCTATATATTAGGTGAAAGACTTTCTTTTACAAGGTTTTGCTCATAGCGAATTGTGTACTCTATATATTTGGCTTTCTGCAATATTAGAATAATCAATGTAATTCATCTAAGTTTATAAGACAAGCTACAAAACTAAGGTCACCTTATAATACGATCTCCAGTCCACTGGATGAGTATCAAAAGACGTCATTAGAAGGCGCGATTAAATTTATCGATTTTGATTGCTGCTCTGACTTCCTCCCTCTCCTGGCAACTGTTTCTCATGGTGTTGAATCTCAGATCTTGCAGTGTTCAATGATGACGTTGATAAAGGGTAAGTACTAGTTTGATTCGTGTTATTAGAGGATCGAGTTCGACTTTGTTGCTCCTGAAAATCTCTCATGGCTTTGAACCGTAGATCTGTGGTGTAGCCACTCGTTTCTAGGACTATCTCGGGAACAATAGTTCTGCCTTCAAGCATACTCGCCACCTCAGACATGGTGGGTCTCATCGATTGAGACCCATTTGTGCACAAGAGTGCTACTTTCACCATCGTTTCTGCCTCCTCTTTGTTGACTTCAGACCCTAACTTTTCGTCAAATAGCTCATCGTATGTTTTACTTGTTTGTAACCTGCAAGCCTGCAACAACAATATCAATTTGACTTGGAGATTACTGCGTTCATTGTTGCACCTATCATGCAACATGGTGATCTACACGGGCATTGTTTCCATATGGAAGGCCATGTTTGGTAACCATAAGCTAGCTTAATGGAAACACCTGTTTGGTTAGTTATAATCTAGTTTTTTGAAAAGCTACTTCAAGTAGCGTTTCAATGAGCCCCAAAGGGCTTTTTTCCAATTATCCCCCTTATTTTTTCCAATTAATTTTTCAGCATATGCCCTTTTAAGTAATTTTACATTTATCAGCTAGTTTTTAACAAATATTACTAGTTTATCAACTAACTTATTAGCCAACAACTATCTTTTCAGCTATCAGTTATTTTGCCAAACATAACCCAAATCTCCCAGATAACATACTTTAGAACCGTACAATGTCATTCAGAAATACAATAGGATACATGGAATAAACCGAAGAGAGCTGGGGGATATGAGTAATACCCATTCTAGAAGACAAAAGCAATCGTTATTTGGTATGTAAGCATTGTTGTTCTGGCCACTCACGATTTCCAAAGCCACAACACCGAAGCTGTACACATCTGCCTTGTCACTCAAGTAACCCCAAAGCGCATATTCCGGCGCCATGTATCCTCTGCAATTCATGTCAAGCATTATCAAGCAAGAACAAAATGAAAATTGAAAGAAATAAATGCATCCAAGATTAAAGTAGTTCAAACCCTCAGGGGTAGCTCAACTCGCAAGGCATTGGGTTTCCTCCCAAGTGGTCACCGGTTTGAGTCCCCTCAGGGTTATTTGCCTGACTATGAGATTAGTTGAGTGCAAGCTAGCCCAAACACCTACGTTTATCAAAATTGAAGTACTTGATTTCTTTGTAGTAGTAAGAATAAAGAATTACATGGTGCCGGCTACTTTGGTGCTGATATGGCTCATCTCATCCTCGTTTAGCCTAGCCAATCCGAAGTCAGATATTTTTGGGTTCAGATCTTTATCAAGAAGGACATTAGTAGCTTTGATGTCCCTATGTACAATTTTAAATCTCGATCCTTCATGAAGAAAAGCTAATCCTTTAGCGACCCCGACACAGATCTTAAACCTTGTTGGCCAGTCAAGTACTAACCGACTGTTATTTGAACCTGAAAAATATGTGATATCTTGTTGATTAGAGAGATCAAGAAAACACAACAAATCAAAGAAAACAAGTCCGGAAAAACAGACAATTCCTTCGATATTAATTTAATCAGATTTTTATTTAGTTAAATGTTTGTGTTTTATATTGTCTTGATAGGATTTTCTATTTTTTGGCCCAGTAGTTGTATATTGGTTCCTCATTTAGTTGAGAAATATAATTTAACACTAGACTCTACCGACATTTTGGAATACGAAAAATGAAAATCAAAAGAAAACCGTTGGAACACTCACCAAACAAGGCATTGGCAAGGCTGTTGTTTTCCATGTACTCGTATACAAGCATCGGTTGATCTCCTTCGATGCAGCATCCATAAAGCTTAACAAGATTTGGGTGTTGTAAACAAGATATCACAGCAATCTCATTCAAGAACTCGCGATTTCCTTGCCTTGAATGAGATGAAAGCTGCTTTACTGCAATTACGGTCCTGTCAGGCAATGTACCCTGCACCACTCCACTTGAATCAGCATACATAGACAACATAATAAACATATAAAGAGGACCATACAATCATAGTTATTCAGGGGAACAACCTTCTGGCAGTTTATTTTAAATGAATAACCTTTTAACAGATTTAAAAACGCCTCTGCCTAACAAAAGAATGCCTCAAAATCTTTGAGAAGGTTATTCTTCTAACTAACCCCAATTGAATAATAGGTGCTAGATTATTGCCTTGTAAACAGGTCCGAAACCACCTTCGCCTATTTTGTTTGCAGCATCGAAGTTACTTGTAGCTGTTTTTAGTTGTTTCAATGAAAATGATATTGTATTCAAGTCCAGTCCTTCAAGGTCTGAACAACAAAGGCAAGAAGAATGAGCAAATAATGCATATACTACACACAAATCAATTATATGAAGAACAAGTGCACAATTACATCAGGGCCTAAAACCAGTTTTTCATTCCACTTTTTAGAGTATATTCTTTATTAGTAACACATTGCACTAAGATCTCCTACTTTATATTCAAATACTGGAATAAAAAAGTTGCTTCTAGATATCAAACAGAGAATACAAGTTGATGAAGTCCTAGTGTGTTACCTCTATCTTTCCTTTTTCTGCATTTCAAGCAGCCTTTCCACCATAAACCAGCCAAGATTAAGAGCACAAGACATAGCGATGCAATTCCAGAACCAACATACACAGCTTTGTTCTTTTTATTTCCATCAATTGAACAAGTTCTAAAATCTGCAAGAGAGAGTTGCATGCTATGAAGCCAAAAGGGAGCAAGTCTTTCGTATATAAAGGTTTTATAGTTCTATGATCAATCTGATATTCATACATCATAATGCTAACTTTCCCAACTTGAAGAAGTTGCGAATTGCTTCCTTGACGATAATTGCCTCATTAAACCATATTAAATTTTCTAATAAGGACAACCCTGGTGCACCCTAGCTAGCTTTACAATGATTCTGGATGGAAGGTTTAATACGCAGTATTTCCTTTGCATTTTGCAAAGAGGCAGTCTGCAAGTTCCAAACCAGCAAACAAGTACAGGTTGTTACAAGGTTTGCCCTATTGGAATTAGCTTTGCTGTAGGGTTACTTTGGAGAATAACCTTCTGACAGAGTATTTTTAAATGCATGACCTTCTGAAAGAGTTAAGAACACCTGTGCCTGACAGAAGAATGTCTCTTCATAACACAAGAATGCGTCAAAATCTGTCAGAAGGTCATGCATTTAATTTGAAAAAAAACTATCGGGAAGGTTATTCTCCTAAACAACGTGCAACTTTTTGTCCCAAAACATCAAATTTAGTGATCTGGTATTTACTGTAAGTAACTGTTTGCTTTAATAAATGATAATTCACATAGCATGTCTACATACATGGGTTAACAGAGATAGCTGATACAAGGGGCCCATAAAATCCTCTTCTTGGAATACGTGTTGTCCCTTTGCCAGCCCAATAAAAGCGTATCTCCAAGACGTTATTCACCACGCTTGCATTGAATGGTACTACCACCGGCTTTTGTATCCCACCAGCCTCATTTTCAATATTAAAGTCCCTTTTAACCCGTTGTCCCTGTATAAGATAGAAAACTTGATGACAGTTCTATTATGCACATATTTATAGTTAACTTCATACAACTATCACCTGTATATATATATCAAATAGCCGCCTGCCAAGATTTATATACGTACTATCATTAGTAAACTGTATCTCAGCAAAGTGCAGATTAACAAGGTAATTGCCATTTTCCAAACAATAGCTGATATAAGTAAGCGAAAGTGGAGAGCGTCGTGCTGTTGTATAAAGAGGAGGTAAGTTGGTTGACCCTTGCAAGGATTCTACATAAAGACCAGTCTGAATACTGTCATCAAGGAAGTCTCCGGAGCTGCTAAGTCCCCAATTACTACTGGTTCTATGGTAACTTGCTCCATCACCATCAAATGAAGCATCTCCTTCGTAAAGAACTTCTACATTCCCTTCTCTAACGGTTAGATCACTTCCACCGCTATTAATATGTAAGGAACATTCATCTGTTATACATCAAATACAGCTATGTTAGAGTTCAGATGTGTTCTTTTTAAGAGATAACTAATCCGTTGAACGTTAAAAGGTCGAATTTCTTTATTGGAAGTGTAAAAGTTGATTTCTTTTTTGTTTGATTTTATAATTCCCAGTCTGGAATTCGAATAAATGGATAAAAACTAAAAAAACTGATAGAACTTCAACCATTCTAAGGAAACTTAAGGATTTTCCTCACAGTTGAGAGGGGTCGATTTGCCTCAGGGACTGGCATTCATGTTTCACATGGTATATGTCCTTCCTTCCAAGGAAAACTAAAAGAAAATAGATATGGTTCTTCAATTTAAACATATACTCCATCATGTGATTGGGAACATGGTCTTGTAAAAAATGTTTGATTAAGGCAAAATCAAATGAGAACCTCGAAAATGTTGAGAACCGGTGAAACATGTATACTTTCACACGTGAAACAATACATGTCTATAAGTTTCACATCTGAAACAATACAATGCTGTTTCACATGCCAAACGATAATACCACCTTGAATCCTGCCTTAGATGAAACTCACTGAATGGTTGAGATTGGTTCTCTACTTTTTTAAGTTTTCATTTGATTTCCCCCTTGTTTAATTAATAGTCAAATGTTTATAATATCCCCATGAATAATGACCAAAGAACAAAATCTTGTATGCCAAATCAATAGCTTCACCAATTTGTAACAATGACGATGGGAAAGTAGGTCATTTAGCTGGAAAATTTGCCAAAAAAAACATTTCTGAAAATGGGACATGGTGCAGTTTATGTGGAATGGAGGGATTAACCTTGCAATAAATTTAAAGAGGCATGCTCTCATAGGGACTACTTACATTTGGGACACACGATATCTTTTCCGCATGGCATTATATCCTGTCTGTTGAAAAATACAAATATAAGATCAATCAACCTTTAAGTCGAAAAAAAAAAAGAAGACCATAGGAATCTTACAGTGTGTTCCCTGTTGAAGAGCTTCGAAACAGGTTAAGATCTAACTTCCTAATAAAAGAAACAAAAATGAAGAGCATCAGTTAGTCCTACAAACTGCAAAAACATCCCATGCAAGGAAAAATATAACGCTAAACAAGAGAAGCATCCTGACATGATCGGTTGGCATGTTGGTCGATCAGGTCCTTGCCATGTCAAATTGTTGTAGGACAGGTCACTGCATCAAGTGAATAAACTTCATGACACAAGCAATTTATAGGTCCCATGAGAGGCTAACTGTAGAGTAACACTACCATTATTAGAGAAGGAGGGTTTGACTTGTAAGGTCAATCAAACCACTTTCCTGAATCAATTATTGATGTGGATCTTGCTAAAGATTTTTGAAAGTAGCATTTTCTCTAAGAAGTGCTCATTACAAAAATCTTTATGGTAACCAGAAGCTTCTTAGAAGATTGAAAGAATCCATATCAATTTTGAAGTTGAAAGCTAGTCCATTACACCTTGGAAGTCAAACTATCTCTTCCAGTAGAACATATCAGTATACTACAAGCATCCATGAAAAGGCATACATGGCAGCTCCTTCTATCAAAAGCGTGTCAGGTATATTTCCACTTAGCATGTTACCCGTCAAAAACCTAGTCAATCCAAATCACATGGCTAGTAAGTAGTAATAAATAGGCAAAATGCTAGAGTATATAGAAAGAGATTGACAGACCAACTATAACAAGAATGTAGGCATTTCTGCAACAAAAAGGGTGCTTCAGAGCACCAAGGCTCCTTGACTTTGCAAGGAATGGGAAGAGACGCGTTTGTACAAAGCCTTTTCAATGTCTTTTCTAACAAGGCACTTTTCATGAATTGTACCCTTAATATTATGGCATAAGACCCTTTGGGGTAGCTTAACTACTGATTTGAATCCCCTCAGGGCCACTGGAGGTTTGCCTCGCTGTTAACTTCAGGGTCCCATGGGATTAGTCGAGGTGCGCGCGAGTTGGCCCGCACACCGATGGTTATCCAAAACATTATGCCATAAGGGATGCCTTGGGAGTTGGGGGTCAAAAATCAAATTGACTTTGCTGTACTTACACATATCTCAAGCGTCTTCCGATGATATCACCTGATATTTCCCCTACCAACCTGTTAAAACTTGCATCGCTGTGCAATGTACAAGGGAAGGGATGTCATTGAACATATAGACTAGGAAGTTAGAAGTAAGAAATGGACCATACTTCAATAAGTATGAACTCTTGCTATACTTGTATTTTTAAAACTAGAAGCGTACTCGCGCAATGCAGCGAGATACATCGTGATT